AGAAGACTAGTGTGCCGAGAGTCAAATAGAGGAAGAGTTTTCGGAAAAACTTGCTGGGCGGTTTGGGAGCCTGAGGAGGCGGAGGTGATGGGGGAGGAGGTGGCGCGCCGCCAGTCTTGACGACAACCGGAACAGGCTTGACGACCACAGGAACAGGCTTGACGGTAGCGTCAAGGGGAAGAATGACGTCGGGCTTCGTAACACGGGCTGCATTGGTCGGAACTACCACGGTCGCGACAGGTTTGGCATTAACCGCAGTGGGAGGGATTGGCGGAATTCCAGGAGCTGTCGGTCCTCTTGTGGAAGGTGAGCTGCTGTCGACCGCATAACGCTATGGTGTTGAACGAGTATTAAGTTACGGTAGCGAGCTTCCTTGCAAACGCTGCGACTTACCCTAATAGAAAGTCTTGCATTTGCACTCAGGCGACTGCTGTTGACCAGCCTGACTTGTCGATACATGGCTGAAAAGATGGAAGCCCTACGTGCTACCTGTCAGGTGTGTTGAATGAGGGTAGCTTGCAGACGATGCTTGGTATACCATTACTTGTACACTGCATCTTCTCTAAGGTATACTCTCCTCCAATCGCTTTTCCGGCTCTTGGCTCAAAGTCGCAATCGAAATGGACTAACCAGAGTCGGTTCAGGCCTTTCGAAACGCTGTTTCAAATGACGTACTCGCTACCAGGCAGTGCAGGGAGTCGAATTGTTACATGGGTCGGGGAGCTGGTCGGGGCAGTATGCAGTAGTAAGTACGTCGACTAGTCGTTCGCGCTACAGGTAGTAGTATATATACCGAATACAACTTTGTATTTCAAGTTTTGTTCCCGTTCTAGTTCGACCGCATCTAACAACCGCCCGCGCAATAACCTCCGCCTCCAAGTCCACAACCCCAACAACTGATAGCTCCCTTTCCGGCACCTGTCATAATGAGTCCCACGATACTGATGATTCCTTCGCCCAGTACGAAGCCACTCGCGCAGACGATGACTAGGAGCGGAGTTTCACCATTTTTGCGACTCCTGTAGGCGATGTAACCGCCAACGAGACGAGCCAACGAGAAAGACGGTGTGTTTAGGAAACCGATGGCGAATGCTATGCCTGAAGGTATGTAATGGATCCATTTAGGTGGTCTCGAGGTAAGCATGGGTGTCATGTACTTGACGAAAGACAGCAAGGCAAAGACGGATCCAAATGCCGTCATGAAGATTGCCGTGTAAGGCGGGAGATGGCCGGTGTTGAGTAAACGAGCAAGATTCAGCCTAGTGACCTGGAAGGTCAGCAAGTAGATCCGAAGCACAATTGAGTGCGCGTCAAACTTACCATATAGCAGCTGTTGGTACTCGGAATTCTGGTCCGGGGATCTAGAGCAAAGGTGTAAGCGTAAAGTCATGTCGTTCGCGTCGTATCAGCGACGCACCTCGTAGATGCTGGTATATAGCTTATAGGCTCCAACAGACACGAAGACACTCGCGAAACTACCAATCATCTGACCGTAGAATTGTGAACGGGGGGAAGCTTTGAGCAGTGCTCCGGTCTTGAGATCTTGCATCAAGTCTCCGGCCCTGCACGTATAGAAACTCAGGGTCAACTCGTCAATAACAATATACGTTTATGAAAGCGTAGGCTTACTGTTGTGCACCCGCCTGGTTTCCAATGAGCAACGATCCATAATGAGTAAAGCATTTAGACGGTAAAGCTGTGTGAAGTGGATTTACCTCGGCGACACCGCCCGCGATGATATTTGCGACTACGTTTCCTGGTTGTAACACAGCAAACACCAATTGGCTTATCTTTCCAATGCCAGACTTTGTGAAGATCATTGTGAGTTGGTTGATCCCGCATTAGGAGCTTATAAATCGCAGAAACTCACTACAGGATTTAAATCCGTTTGTCCCAAAGCTCGTACGCCCAAGACGCTTAGAATACTAGCAAGAACCAGACCCAACGCTGTTGCCCATGGTCGAATACCTTCATGCCCAAATATCACCCATACGAGCACAATGCCTAGCGCCGAACTGACTGCAAGGCCGATTCCGACCCAGGACATGGGGACCAACCGGTCCGGAGATTCGGTTTCCACGTCGTCAGAGTCTCCAGGACCTTCATGATGGCGAAGTTGCTGGAATTGTTTCAGAACATTGGATGAATAGGATATGACGATGGGAAGGAGCGAGATGACGGATTCTGCAATCATGATTGCAAGAGATATCCAAAGCTGGCGATGCGGTATGTCAGTCAGCGTGGCATGGGAAACGAGACACAGCCCAACTCTTACAATCCACCCTCGAGACCCATCAGTGGAGGATGACACAGGTCCTGGTGCCCACCCTTTGTGTTTCGCCAGGGGCGACAGAATCGCCCATCCGGTAATCATACCCAGGTTCATAGAGACTGTTGTAGGAAATCCCATGATGATGCCTGTAGACGGAGGTGGATCAGATCCTATAACCAGGGTCGCCGGACAAAAGCTGGGTCTTACCTTGACCAACATAAGATAGACTTGGTGAAAACCTAAGGGGGACACTGGTCAGCGGATACGTTGGATATACGAGCCTGCTTATTCACTCACCACCAAGCCCAGGTTGCCGCAAGACTTGTACCAAAGACTGCACCGATGATGTCAAATATCGGCATAGCGAATGTGACCGGGAACAGAAAACTCGCAAACTATTACGCATGAAGCATCAGTCTCTGAATCTACCTCTTCAATTCGCCCAAGAAGGCTTACAGTGATGGCAGCACTGGCTACAAAACTCCAGCCTAGGACCCACCACCCAAGTCTGCCCATTTCCTCTTGTGTGACTGGATCCTCGAAAACGCTTACTGGCTGTCGAACGGTTTTAACTAGCTCCTCTTCCTGGTCATCGCCAATGCTTTCCAGCCGTTCCAGGGAAGCAGAATGACTGGCTTCACCGGAAGATCTCCTGGGAATAGCTTGGTATCCGCTCGAAGACGAAACACCCCTCGTGGTGTCGATATCCGTGATCCGTGGTGGCGGAATTCGATGAAGCAAAGCGATAAGCTGGGCAGTTGCAGCTGGATAGGCAGCGGCGGGTAAGAGCGGGGTTCCCCATATAATTGTGTAGACTCTTTGACTCACTGCCTGAAGGAAATACTAGCTTCTCCTTCACGATCTGTAACAAGACTCGTCCGGTCTCAGCTTCGTCGTCGTGAGATTCAAAGAGGCTGAATACATACCACTTGCCTTCTAAGCGGCACAGCCAAGAATACCCTGATGTAAGGAGCAGTGTAAGCCGGGGTCTCGCCCTTGTACAACCCAAAGACCTCCTCACCCGAAAAAGCAGATACCAAAACTCCAGCCGATGAGCTGCCAGTACCCAAGCTTCAATGGATGTACCCCGTCAATCTTGAACTCCAGCTGCTCCAACGCGGGTATAATTCCGACGAGTCCAGCAGCAAGGGGTAGCGTTCCCGTTGCGACCGCGGTTGTCTGTAGTACAACATTCTCTTGCGGCGTAAATGGTCTATCGGAGTGCGTAAGGAATGGTATGCGCGATAGAAACCCAGGTCGAGGGAGTTTGAAAAGGGCATAGCCCAGAAGAGCAGACTGCAGCGACATCATGGATATCCATCCGGTTTGAAGGCCCTGTTGAAGATCAAAGGGGTGAGCCGTCTGTCTTGACATTAGTGGATATGGGGCTTACGAAATATAGATTCGTAAATGCGAGTCTGCAAACCCAGTCAGTATTTGCAACAAAGAACGCTCGCAGCAACTCACAGTACGCCGACCAACAGCCCGACGGCAACTGCTCTAACCTTTTTACCGTGATGTAGAAAGTAAGCAGAGTGCATGCTTTCGGACTGGTCAGACATACTGTAAAGTCTCCCTCAATACCATACTCGGCTTCTAGCTCTCTTAACAGTTCCTCGTCCGCATACGAATCGTCGTCTCGGTCGAGCGACCTAGTCCGCCGGTCACTTTGCATAGCGTTGATTCCTCTATAACGACCAAGTATGGATCTTCAGCATCTCCCTGACGAAAATGGGTTATCATAATGATTCCAACGTACTGTGTACCTTTCTTCAAGTCGGACGTGGGTATCGAGCAAGTTATCCGGCTGTCGCTTCGCCAGGTCGTTATTGAGGAAGGTTTCAGGGTCCCTCCGAGCCCACTTAAATGGTTGTTGCGTTAGCTGTTGCGTTTGCAGAATGATCAAGGTTGGAAAGGAGGTCACCCATGAACATGTACTCTTAATAGCTTATAGTCGAGTCAAATACTGTCGATAGGAGGTTTGTGACATGCGATCGAGCGCTCGGTCATGCCCGCAGCTGTCTCAGCGTATGGGCGTATTATGGGCTAATCCTTGCAGGTCCTCAACCTGAATGATATTCAAAGCTGCAGCCCTGCCTACGTTGTGTGCTTAACTTTGCTCCCCGCCGCTCCCAAACACACTATTGTGCACTGCTCCCATCGCATGGCAAGTAGTCTTAGGTTTCCGAAATGTGGCCAAAGCTGGATGTATGCCCGGAATGCGCTAAGAAGCGCAGGGCTGAGGTCGAAGGTGCTATAGGGGTTTTAAATGAACCGTGGTGGTCCCTGGATCTCTATCGGGATCAGGACAAACTCCCCCGATTTACCCCCTCTCCGCGTCGCATTTGGCGCAGAGAATCACAAAAAACGTTCTCATTTCTAAGTTCAAAAACAGTTCGACTGCTATTTCCCTGATTCATAACCCACCTAACCCTCTAACACCCCAAAAAACTTATCCCCTCCAAGCCCCACCCCTAACCTCGAGCCCAGCGGGCATTTGGTGGTCCCCTAAGCATTAACCCCTAACCCATAACCTCCCCTAACCTCTAACCCGCTCTCTACGTTAAATGCGACACTGGAGAGGGGGTAAATTGCCTGAGATGTCAGGACATGCCACAAGAGCTGTAAGTATACATAAAAAGTGTACTGTACAGGGCGTAAGACCAGGAAAAGGTCAAGCTACATCGGAATTGAGATACATCGTGTTTATAATGTCAAGCAAGCATCCTTCTCACTAGCACAGTGGTAGTTGCGTCGAGCTGTTATTCAGAGCTTCCCATCTTGGGGTCAAAGCGATGTCTTGGTAGTGACTCGAAGGTCGTTGGTTCGACTCCAACGTGGGAAGACTATTTTTGCATCCTGGGAAACGTTCTGGGAGTCGAGGGGCAGGTTCTGCAGTTTTTTGGTGCGAGTTGCGGGGTCTGGTTGAAAGAAATCGACTTTGTTCCACAGTCTGCAACCCGCTTCAAGACAAGCCTGATCTATTGGAGTGGTTGCTCCGCAATGTTTTCAGCCTGCACTGTCCGTGGGAAGCACGCTGGTCAAAGATTCCAGATGATCGAAATTAAACAGGAGTATCGCATGTTGTACTGAAAACGCGACTGAGTTACTACCGACACTTTTTGACCTCGGAGAAATGGCGGCAGACGTCCCTCAAACACCCTGACCAACAGCATTCGAGCGTAGTTCCGTGTTCAACACCTTTGGATCGATCGGCACCATCCGCCTATAGCCCCCACAAGCTCCCACACCAGCTTAGCATGCTACAAAAGCAGTTTGGTGGGCCATATCTAAATGGATGATGCAGATGATGCGTTCCGTTTACTTGAAAGTCGGAGTTAGCATCGGGCAGACACATTGCTTCCCATACAATCGGCGGTTCGGTCAGACCCCTTTCCAGTACCGTATAAGAGCCGAATGCGTTACCGTCTCTTGATAAATACTGATGCAACCGCTACCGAGCTGCTGCAGTTTGATGCGGTGAACTTGTCAATCTGATGCAATGGTACAATGTCCCTGTCGACGTCAATTGGTAAAGGAGTTCCTATATGCGCCGACAATGAATATACATACGGCTCGGGGTAGCCTGCTAGAAGACCTACGAACATATACTCCAGGCAGTGAAAAAGCGCTTCCCGCGCAGCAACATGGACCCACACTGAACGCCCAAGCCACTTCAATCAGACAATCCAGGGCATCACGGAAAGGGACGAATGACTTGATACGCTCAAGGTATACAATGCAAATGTGAATAAAATCATGCTATGCGATCGAATCATGGTGTTACAGGCATACGAGGCTCGCCTTTCAGTCTACCTTTGCTTTCAAAGGTGGATCTGTAACGACGATACAAAGAAGGAGTAGGCTTGGTTAAGCCATGATTACGTCTTCTCCGGTGGTGCGAAGTTCTCTCACCTATAACGTTCAAAGTGAGGTATTTGAGCACTTCATCTATCAATATAATGGGGGCAGAGATCCAGAGAACAGCCATCCACTCGTCCCAGTTCAGAGGGATAATTTGGAAAATGGACTAGATGTGTGAAATGAATTAGCGGTCGGTATGGCTCGGAGGGAATGGAAATGTACTCACACTGAGGAATGGTACATAGAGGATCATAAAGTGCAAGGCCATGCTCAATGCAATGGATGCCATCAAGTACGGATTGACCCATATCGGCATGACTAGCAGAGATTCGTTTTCGCTAAGGGAATTGCAGGCGTTGAGCATTTCGATGACTACAGAAGTGTATAGGTCAGCAAGGTCACTCCACTACGCGCGACGAAGAAGCTACTCACCAACCAGGATCGACAACGACATTGTAGTAGCCGTCTTGGAGTAATCATTGCTGAACATTTCACAGCCAATCTCGGGGAACTTGGTACTGCATTGGTGGAAGTGGGTCTGAAAGTAGGCATATCACGTCAGTGACATAACGCCCAACACCATGCTTCTCCCGCACTCACGAGCTGGTGGAAGGTGATCTGGGGACCTCCGCTGTAGTAGATAAACCACCAAGCGTATCCGAAAACGGTCGCGCATCCGACGTAAATGCCAATAACCATGTATCGTACAAACAACCACGGGCCCACAAGGGGTTCACGACCGGATCGAGGCGGCGTTCGCATGATCATGTTATCCGGCGGGTTGAAACCAAGAGCCGTAGCAGGAAGACCACTACAAAGAATAGTTAGTCAAAGCATGCTTGCTGCTGGGTTTCAGAGGACTCACTCGGTGACCAAGTTTACCCAGAGCAGCTGTACCGGAATCAAGGCCTCGGGCATACCCAACAAGACGGTAAGGAAGATGGAAACGACTTCTCCAATGTTGGACGAGATCAAGTATCGGATAAACTGTTTCGTATTGTTGTAGATTGCACGACCTTCCTCAACGGCCTTTTCAATGGTTGCAAAGTTGTCGGTGGCAAGAACCATATCGGCTGCCAATTTGGCAACATCTGTTCCGGATCCCATGGCGATACCAATGTCGGCCTTTTTCAGTGCACCAGCGTCGTTGACACCGTCACCAGTCATGGCCACAACCAATCCTTGGCCTTGAAGCAGATCGACGAGTTGACTCTTGTGATTGGGCTCCGTTCGACTGAAAAGACTGGCCCTCTGCACAGCAAGAATCTTTTGTCCCGGCGAAAGGTCATCCAGTTCTCGGCCAGTGTACGACTTGCCTGTCAGGTCCTCGTTCATGCCAAAGATGCCGATTTCTCGACAAATAGTTTCGGCAGTGTTCTTGTTGTCTCCTGTAATCACGATGGTTCGGATACCGGCGGCTCTGCACTTGGCGATGGCGTCTCGCACTTCAGGTCGAGGAGGATCCAGCATGCCGACAAGGCCGACAAACGTCATGTTCTGTTCAAAGTTGACGTATTCGGTAGCGCTTTCCGTCTTGTAATGTTCCACATTCGAATCGGCTTCGTCGACAAACGCAAACGCCAAAGTTCGCAAACCACTCTTGCCATACTCGAGCTGAGCGCGGGCCAGTTGTTCCCGAACATCGGGGGTGAGTTCGCGGGTACCTTCTGGCGTAAGAACGGTGGTGCATCGTTCGATAACCGATTCCGGCGCACCTTTGACGAAAAGAACAGTGTGTCGTTCGTGCTTGGCGAGTACAGACATTGATTTACGGTCCCGGGAGAATTCAAAGGTAAGCAGTCGCGGAATCCGTTGTTCGTAGTAGGAGTTTACGGCGTTGACTCGAGCTGAAGGGTGCATGTTTCCGAGTGTCTTGTTGAAGGTTTCGTCATTTGTGCCGGCCTTTTCAACCAGGACCTTCAATGCGGCTTCGGTGGGTTCACCTAGGTTGGTGTAGATTCGGGTTTCCTGCATGGCAGTCAAGTGAGACGGGCGTGACATGTCATTTTGCAAGCCGACTTACATCATTATACGCAATCCTGGCATCGTTACAGATGGCAGAAATTTCCATAAGTCGTTCAATGGGCCTGGTTCGAGCGATACCCTTTTCGGAAAACTTGGCATCCGACGCGCTAATCTCTCCGACAGGCGCAAACGTTGAGCCGGTAACTCGGTACTCTCGAAGAGGTGTAGAGCCGTTTTCAATAGTCAAAAACTGCGAGCTGGGCGGTAAGCTAATCATACTTGACAGGCGAGGAACATTGCACACGTACTCGAGAGACAGACATCTGGTTCGTCGTCAAGGTACCCGTCTTGTCGGAACAAATGACGTTTGTGCAACCCAAAGTCTCGACACTTGGCAGATTCCTAACAATCGCTCCGCGCTTTGCCATCTTTTTCGTACCCAAAGCCAGACATGCGGTGATGACTGCAGCCAAGCCTTCTGGAATAGCAGCAACGGCGAGCGCTACTGCAATCTTTAAGTAATAAATCGCACCTTTGAGCCAACCGTGATGAGCAGGGTCGTTGAAGTGTCGAATGTTGACGAGCCAGACAAGGATGCAAATGACACTAATGACCTTGGCGAGCGAGTCTCCAAAGTCGTCTAGCTTTCGCTTGAGGGGGGTCTTTTCGGTCACGGTGGAAGAGATGGATTCGTGGATTTGTCCGATGGCAGTATGCGGTCCGGTAAGCACGACGAGCGCCTTTCCTGCTCCGTTGACAACGGTCGTTCCCTAATGACAGACACGTCAGATCACAAGCGCAAACGCAATCACATAGGAACTCACGGCAAAAAGCATGTTCATCATGTCCTGTCTTACGGCCTTTTCGTCCGCAACCTTGTCTTCCATCTTTGAAACGCTCATCGATTCACCTGTCAGCAGAGCTTGATCGACCCTAAAGGAACTGCTCGAAAAGCTCAAAACCCTGCAGTCCGCGGGAATCTTGTCTCCAACGTGAACCTGAACAATATCACCAGGTACTAGTTCCGAGGAATGAATCTTGTACGATCGACCGGATCGGATGACGGTAGCCTCATCAGGCGAGTATTCTTTCAGAGCCTATTCGCGAGTGGGTACAGTGTTAGTGCCATCAAACAGTTGTAGGTGATGATTGCGAGCTCACATCGATAGCCTGCTCAGCATTGCTCTCCTGAATGACACCGACCGCAGCGTTTGCAATCAAAATTAGGAGAATGACCAAAGGCTCAACAAAGGCAGTCACCCAGCCGCCTTCCTCGGTATGGTCCTCGAAGCAAGCGAGAATAAAGGACACAATGGCGGATCCAAGCAAAATGAGGACCAGTTGATCCTCGAATTGCACCAGAATTAATTTGAACATCGACGTTGCCGGTTCTTCAGGGAGTACTAGAGGATAGGAACGTAAATAACAGTCACGCAAAGCTGCGCATCAGAGCGAAATGACATACCATTACGACCATACAGTTTGGCGTTCTCCCTTGCTCGAGACTCGTCGAGACCCCGATCTTCTGTAACGCCATAATGCGCAAGGGCATCTTGGACGCTATACGTCCACGCGTTCGATAGCATCTTCCTTGCTTTGAAGAAGAAGTGCCTGATTATTTGTGCGTTGCGCAGTGAATATTTGGGCTGAACAAGTATGTTTATGGCTGAACGAACACAAATAGTTCATCATGTCGATCGCGCTCATCATTGAATAGCTTCCACGTCGCCCGGGATATGTTGACCAAATCGACGTGTCAATACACATGCACTTCGAAACATAAACAATAATCTCTGTACATCGTTCCGACGGAACTGCTCCCCGCTCCGTTGTTACAACGAGCATATATTCATTCTGTCAGCTACAGTAGTGGTAGTGCCTGGTCAGCCTGTCTTCTTCCGTCCACAAGTAGTGCGGGAAACAGAGTATGGAAATTTATGGCACAGCAAAGTCCTCCAACCACTTAGAAAGACATGAAGGCGGGAGAGGTGCGTATTGTAATATAAATATCTGACA